AAAAAAAAGAGAGGCAACAAAAAGTCTTTAAAATGTCGATGTATTGCTCATGATTGTCACTTATCGCAAGGTCATTTTATAATGATTTGTGAAGTTTCTATTTTTCTTGCTCAATATTTTTTAATAGGACAAATCGGATTGTTTTGTTTCTGTATTTTTTTTTTTTATTCAGATGTTTTTTTTTAACAAATTCCTTTCTTTATTCACGCGATGGAACATAATGAAAATTATTGAGCAACACACATATGATTTTTATCACAAACAGCTATTGGTTGTTTAGCTAAGGTGCAGATTGATATTACTGAATTTTCTTCATTATATTGACGTCCAAGTTTAGTTGTTAGTTTAGCCAATGAAAGAATGTATTCAACATAGGAACTTGTTTTTGAGTAAACAATATAACCACCGGGACCACCACATGCACGAGCACCGATTGGTTCTGTTAGACAATCAGATGATGTTGTACATTTATTTTCAAACTGATTAATTGTTGTTAATGCTGTATTGATAGAACTTAATTGTTCATGTGTAATTTTTCCATTAACAATAAGTATACCTAAATATAAAACGATTTTAAAAATATTTTTCTTCATCAGATAATTCTATACAGAAACCTACAGAGAAAAAAAAGACCAATGGTAATTGTTTTTATCATGATATTTTTCTGTCTAACAATAAATTATTTGAATAGAAAGAGTATTTAAAACCAAACATGTTATTTTATATCAAACAAATTACATACGTCAGTAAGATGAGAAAAAAATCCAGATGACATGGTTTGATTAAATATTTAGACTTAAAATAATAATAAAGATATATTGATATGATTTCATTCGAATTATTTGAAAATAAATATTTATATGATTTATAAGAACATTTACAAGTCAGAAAGTAGATAGATCGTTTACTACATGTTGCATCGATGAAAACAAAATGCTAAAATTAAATAAATTGATACGATTGGATACTCTTTTATTGAAAATGAAAACTAATGGATGATATTGCTCATAACATTTTGTTGTAAACTTACTGTGCTTATTTTAAATGATACTATTTCCCAAGAGAAGTCAATAGTATTCTAAATTTTATATGGATATTGTTACTTAATTGCTTTTGAATTCGAACTCAATGCAATAAGGTAACGTTCAGTGAGATATGACAAAAATTCAAAAGGATAACTTCACGTAGACCTTCTCTCTAGAGTTACAGGTATTGTACTGGAATTTCAGCTAGTAACACGATAAATACCAATGAGTTGAATGACAATATTTCGATCTGAGATTTTATTCATGAACAGATCCATTCATCAGTGAAATGTTCTGAAAATTTCAGCTCAAAAGAATGTTTTTTTTCTCGAGATATTGAAGTTTCAAAAATGACTCATATTGCACCGCAGATACTAGAATTTTCTGTTTTTTAGGACTTTAATATCTCGAAAAAGAAATATCCTTTTGAGCTGAAATTTGCAGGACATTCTATTGACAAATAGATCTGTCTGTGGACAAAATACTAGGTCGAAATACTGCCATTCGATTAGTTGGTATGTACCACGTCAGAAACTAAAATTCTAGTAAAATGCCTATAACTCTAAACAGAAGACATAAGGAGAATTATTCTTTCGAGTTTTTTCATGCCTTACTGGACTCTACAATATATACTGAGTCCAAATTCAAAAGCGATCGATAAGTTGAAAACGTCCCTTCGTCAGTCAGAGTGTTAGGCTACAAAAAAGGCTCACTATGCACATCTCTAATAGTGACCTGATCGGGGGTAGTCGAGGAATGTAATACCTACTTCAATCGTGGAAAACTTTTGTTTTTTTTCAGCAGAACTGGAATTCTCTTTTTACATTCTGTTAGAAGAAAGATATTTTCCTTTTGCAAAAAATCGTCATACCCCTTCCCACCTTTTCTTCCACATAGTATGTCCGATTGGATTCAAATTTTTTTATGAGCACTATAGTCTAATTGGAGCGCGTGTTTTTTCTTCTTCTTCAAAATGTTGTTCCTACAAAATTCGGCAGCCTTTAAAAAATTAATATCACCAAAAAAAACGCTTTTTTTCTGTCGGTGCTTCCAGTATTTTGCTTCTCCAGAGTTCTAGGAACAATATTTTGGAAAGAAAATGAAACAGGCACGGCGATTTGATCCTAGTTGTCATAAGACAAAATTGCAGCTTGAAAAAATGAAATATAGAATTTTGTAGGAGAGAAAACTTCCGGCCATTGTTAACTTTTGTGACTCTCATATCTTCCCGAAGGAAGCCATCTGGAAATTTTGAGTCTATGACTATTTTTGTTTTACTTATCAAGATCTATCCATTTTGAAAGTTTCATAGTTTTTCGTCGAGTCATTTCCGGAAAGGGCACGACAGGAGTCCCCTTAAGATGTCACACAAATTTTAACGCTTCATCGCCTAAACTTATTAAGCTATGACAATTTAAAGATCAAACATAGTTGAACGTGCCATTTGTCGACAGACTATATATTATTGAAATCTGATGATCAATATGAAATTTTTTATGTTATTTATTAGATTCATATTTATATTCGCTCAGTGATTATTGTGATCGAGAATATATCGAAAATTGGTCGCAATAGTTATTCAATGTTAGTTATACTCAATTACAAAATACGTTTTCAACGATACTAGAAAGTAATCACTAAAATAGCTTTGCATCAAGTGTGTGCTATGATACGAACAGAATGATAAATTGTTTAAGTTATATATATAGTACTGAATACAAGAAAGATGAAATACCAGACGAAATAAAACTACTGGCCCAAACGGGATCGATAAGATTGACACTTGCTAAATTTGTCTTCGTGAACATTAAAATAGTATGCACTCTGACCGAGACAAACATCAATTGAGTCATACTGTTTCCTGTTTTGGTGGACTCAATAAATGCAATAATCCATCCATTTTATAAAATATAACGAATGAAATCAAGATGAACTATGACGTTCAAGAAATACTGCACTTTGTACCATGGACGTAAGATAAAACCACTTTTATGACAATTACCCATGTAGTCATGCAACTTCTACGAAGATAACAAATGGCACAAATCAATTCAAGTCATTGTCAATTATTATTTTTATATTGATCAATATTTTTCATTGCTTATTCATTGAACATTGATTCTGAATCATGCCCGATCTTCTTTTGCATTCACCCTCATACATTAACCAATCCCGTTGATGTTCTTATCGATTTTAGTCTTCAATCATACTTGTGCAGAATCGTCATTCTTTTCTTGCTTTAAGCAACAACAGTGAACATTGTCATTACATAACAGAGCAAATAGGCTAGTGCACAGTGAGATACAAAAAATTACTTTTTTTTTTAGAAATTCGTCATCAAAAGTCAACTTTCCGTCTCGACGATGTTTCGTTCACACCTTATCTGGATGTCGCCATTGATGATTGCCTTTTTCTTTTCTTTCTTAAATATCTCGGCAAAATAAACATAACAGAAACGAGATTCAATAGAAATCGAATGAAACGAATGCACATTTTCTCACTCGAAATAAATCAGTATTTCATCCAGATTTTCTCTTCCAAAAAGGCGACTTAAAACTCTGGGTAGGCGAACACCTAATTTTCAGAGCACAGATACAGAGCACTGGTACAGTAGGCACAAACTCCCAAATAGTCAATCCGATTTTTGGAGGAGTACCACCATTTTGGTCTTCATGCTTGATAAAACATTGGAATCAATAGAAGCATTAAAAGGCCATGAGTTTTTTAAAATCTATGTTTCGAACTACTTTAATCAATTTCAAGAGAAGAACTCCAAAAAGAAAACTTTCGTTCTCAATTGAACATTGAAAACTCATCAGATACAAATCGATTAAAGATTTTCATCTGTTGGTAATGAACATTTCGATCAATTGTTATGAGAGAACGAAATCGACAAGAAACGACGTTTATCTGTATGGAGTCTTGATTTTGGCTTCGATCACCCAACAAATTCGACGAACTGTCATTAATTAAAACTCGAATATTCTTGATATCACTTCATGAGCGTTGTTATAAGTGACGAGCTTCTCTTTTCCTTACGCACACCCTCTAACAATCGATCGATGAATCGATCAGTGTTCAATGTCGCTATGTCCAGTCATGAGAAGTGTTGTTGTAATTATGCATTCGTTCAATATCGAATCCTCGACGAATCATATTTTGGATCTTCAGAACGATCTTCCAACTTTTGAGAACACTCCATGTTTTTTTTCAGTTGTTCATTGCAAATCGAACGGATGTCGTTCTCATTATTCCATTTATCTCTACATTTATCGACAGAGATTGAAAACGTTATCCTAGTACTTGACGTACGCTTTCTACTTATTTTCAGATTTTTTCGGGATTAGTGCTCCATGTATTGAGTTAGAAGGGAAAATACTTGTACAAACGAGCTAGTAACCAGTTACTACTACGCGGATGAGGATACTCCGTTATTAGTATTTTCAAGGTCAGGTTTCTTAGCATTTACGAAATATGAATGGCTCCCAATGTATTAATTATGTGCCAACTGCAGGTGAACTAAATTCTCAGTGGCAGAAGACAAATAAATAAATATGAAGCTTATGAAAATTACAGAAAATGTTCGAGAGAGTTACTTTGAAAATAAAAATGAATTCCTACATAATAATAAGGATAATAACATTGTCTGATTAGTATTACATGTCTCATTAATGTGATTCCATTGTATCACTACATTGATGTCGGGTCTTTTTTATAAGGCTTGATGGTAGTTGTATCATCCATAATTGCAAGACTCATCACCGGTTTGTGACGACCATTGGATGAGTCTACTCCATGGAATCCTCCAGCTACGTAACACATTTTCGATATGTTAGTTACCTCATTGTCTACTTTGACGGGAACTACAAGTGATCTTAATGTTATTTCTTTAGTGTGGCAGCTTTTTCTATTATGCAATCCGTAGCACAACTTGAGAAACCATCCACTAATGTATATTCCAGGCATTCTAAAAGGAAAGACAAAATATTCGATAGTTGTTTCTTCACGTTCTACCAATAGTCAATCTTGTTTTCAATAAAAAGTCTTGCCGAGTAAATTTCTTTTATTTCAAAAGTCACTACATTGAGTTTGCTCACCTTCCCGATGTACCACCACCAACATGTTCAATATCCATGACTTTGTTCCAAAACTCACGGTTAACTTTATTTCGATAAGTGTTGATAAATTCATCGATGATAGGCAATAGACTATCTATATAACTAGCAAACGTATCCGTTCCGCCCTTCGTAAAATTCTTTAATTTTTCCGTTTTCTGACGTAGAAGCTTCCAATCCTCCAATTTACCCATAAAATGTACCTGACGAATTCCACATCTTGTAATGAAGCACCTATATTCGAAATAGCTCTTAAACGTATCCATGGTAACAAGACATGAGAGAATAGATTCAATCGTACCAGTTGTTGAGAAGTCAGCTGTAAGCAAATCAATGACATTATGTTTCACAGATTTGTCGATTTCTACGCGCATGCGTTCAAGAAAATCCTTCCAACTATAATACAATGAGTATATAAAATATTGTCTTCTTTTCAAAATCATGGATGCTTACTCGGGTTCGATCAATCCTACTTGTACGATAGTTAACAATTTACTGCCTTCGTGATCAACAAAAAGTGTTCGCAATTGTTCCGTATTTTGATTGACATAATTGGAAAAATATATGCATATCATGAGCCAAATATCATCTGGAGACAAGACAATATCTTCGTGTGAATTGTAAGCATGAAGAAAAGCCGAGAAAATCGCATGGCTGCCTCTAGATGATGTGTCTAAATACCAAGTTTTTGTAAACGAAAAGATAAGGCAATCTGTTATATAACTCACGGGACCCATTTGCAATGACATGTTGAATTTTGTAACGTGTCTCGCCACCTTCTTTGTCAACTTCGTTTATCCAATAGTCAGCATCTGGATGGTTCTTGGGAGCATGTATGTGATAATCCTTTTCGACTGGTTGAAGATCTTTATCGATGGCAATCGTATGGTATTCCAAAGAATTCTTATTAGTAACTTGATCACTGAAAACTTCACTCATTCCTTTCGTTACTTTTGTTTTTAACATCCAGTAAAGTGTTTGTCTGCCGAATGCAAAAGAAAAATGTCTAACCGGGTACTCAAGATAACAGAATAAATAAAAAAAAAATGAAAGAATGAAGTATTGAAGAAAGAAAAAAATGGCGCATTTCACAATACGCAATGAATGTTGAGCAAGGCAATTTGTAGTTGGAAACATACACACAACAATGAAAAAATGGAGGAATTGTAAAGCAATAGAAAATTCATAAACTCGTGCGACACCTATTACCTTATTACTGAATGAAAGTTCAATATGCATATCGAAATTCTGGATTTGAGTGTGAATGTGAATGATGATGCAGAGAAGCGCTTCATCGATGTATCTTGCGATATCCACAGACCGACCCACATGTCGTTCGATTTTAGAAAGAACATTGAAACGTCTTGAAATGACTCGCTTGTAGGTGATATAGACGATCAATATCGATTGTCATACAAACACGATAGATTTTATTCAGCACAAAATTGTGATATTCATCTACCACTTGTCTTGTTTTCATATTCTCGGACAACAGACGATTGTCAATCTCATCTATATTATGTCAAAAGCAACATGTTTTGTAGATATGTAATACCATAGTCAAAAAGTGATTGATAAAAAGTTAATTATTAACTTTGTGATGTTCCTGATCGTATAATTGTTGATTCTATTTTTTATCGAATACAGTCGGATTTTTCTCGTTTAGTGTTGCTTATGATGGTGGTTTTATTATTTGAGGCAGAAGGAACGGATCAAGAATAACCTGCATAGAGAATATGCTAGGTCTTATTTTCAAGTAAATTTATTTCATTAGTAAAATTTTTCACGTACAAAACAATGTCTCAGATCTGTGCATTGCCTTCATCAACAAAAAAGTTCAATGCATGTGACAAAACTACTGTCGTCTGAAGTGAGAAAGACTATCGCTCTAGACATTTCATCAGATGAAGCAATCCGATTCATTACTGTATCGGCTTTTACTGTTTCGACAAATGCTTTATATTTTTCTTCATTCTGTTCGAGTCGTCTAAATACAGGTGTATCACTCTGGTTCGGGATGTATAATATTAACCCGAATCTTGCGTTCCTTCAAATCGACTGACCAAGTACGGACAAAAGATCGAAGAGCTGCTTTACTAGCAGCATAAAGACTTGTCTCTGGATTAGCTTTTACAACGATGGCAGATCCGCATAAGATGATAGACCCACTATCGATGAGTATTGGGATAACTTTTTGAACGGTGAACAATGCTCCTCTCACATTGACGTTGAATATATCATCGAAATCCTTTTCTGTGATCGAAGTCAGTGCTATAAATGAGCCAGCAGCTGCATTGACGATGAGGATATCTAAGTGATTTTTATCTTTCTGAATAACACTGAAGAGTCTATCGAGAGTCGTCATATTGGATACATCGCCTTGTATTCCGGTCACCTTATTACTATCAAATTTTTTCACAGCTTCATCAAGCATCTGTTGACAACGTCCAGTAATAAAGATATTTTCAGCGCCTTCGACAAAGAACTGAGGAGCAGTAGTGAAGCTAATACCTTCGAAGCTACCAATAATGAGAGCAATTTTTCCATCAAGTTTGCCCATGTGCTTCTGCGCGTTGTTTTGAAAATGTCAGTCACTAGTTGATGGTTGTGTTCTGATCGATGATATAAAAAAAATACGACACTAGTTATCTGTTTATATAATAATTAGAGTTAGCGTCATCTATTTCGTTATTTTTTTCCTGGGTGAATAACTGTATTGCGCAGATAATATTTACGTTGAATTCTTTTTATACATACCTTTTTTTTTCGTGCTGTGTAAAGAGTGGTGTCATGTGCCTTGTGCCTTGTCATCGATGAAATGATCGACAAGAAACTAAACGTACATGCGCATGTTTTGTTGTATGTTTTGTCTGCAGAAATGAATTGCGTTGATCCGATGAGATTGAACATTAGCAAGAGACTCATGAGTCAAAATTCGCCAAAACAGCAGCAAATTTATTGTTCGATTGTCACGATTGATCGTGGATAATTAATAATTTTGTCATTCATTGCTATTTTTACATCTCTCAATTGCAAGCAGACGTATTTTGTAAAAATTCTTTCCATTCTACCTTTTATTCTTCTCTAGGTCTTTTACAACAACTGAATTTTTTTTTTGACACGTTGATATTCCTTGCATCACATATCAAAAATTTCAATTCTGTAAAAAAAAAAATAAACAGGTCGAGAAAATAATAAAAACAAAAATTTACACAGACAACCGAGGAGAAGATACTGAAAAATTATAATACTACACATAGAAGCAGCATAAATTCAATGTTTAATTATAAAATTAATTGTACATATTTACAATAAACAGGTATGTAAGGTTAAAGCAGACAAGGACCATGATCCAGTTTGCTACATAGAGTTGCGTTACTATTAAGAAGTTCGCCTTATTATATCGAAGGTGTCTGTGAGTGTTCTCTTCATCCTCCGACTCACATATACTACACTCACACCAACACACAGTCATCTTTGTTTTCTTGATAACAGTGAATCTATCAGAATAAATGGGATTCTTTTGAATTCACTGAGAAAATCAATATATAGGACAAATAATTACTATCAAGTTTCTTTGCATTTTATTCATAATAAATTCTTTTATTTCTTTCTTATGTTTGATATTACAGGTCTTCAAAGTTTTATTTCTAAGAAGTTTGAAAAAAAAATTCATGTTTTGAATTTATTATAAGGGACCTGATATGAATGGTGAAGATGTTGATCCAGCGGCACATTTTTTAGCCTGATCACATACTACTGTTGGTGGCATAACCATTGAACAAATAGACATGACTGAATTGTCTGAATTATATAGCCGTTCAAGTTTAACTGTCTTTTGTGCTAATAAACGAATATTCTCTGCATTAGAACTCTTAACCGAATATACAATATAACCATTTGGACCGCCACATGCTCGGGATCCAGTAGGTTCGGTGGTGCAATCCGCTGGTGTTGTGCATTTATTGTCAGCTTGAACAACTGCTGCTAATTCTTTATGAGCATCAGCAATTTGTTCTCGACTAACTTTAGCATTGACAGCAACACCTATGAACAATACATATGAATACAATATATGTTAAAGAAAGAAAAACGATTTTACCTATGAAAAGAAGAGCAAGAATAATTTGTTTCAGCATAGTATTGTTTTCTTTTGAGATAAAATAGTGAAACAAAACCAATATAATATTGAAACACTGCTATTTTATACTTCAATCAGTGTGTGCAGATGGTATATGAAAATTGAAATAAAAAAGAAAAAACGTATCAGTTACACTTATGCTACGAAAGAATACAGGATATAGTTGTAAATAGAGGTTTGCACAGTATTAATTTGATAATATAGTTTAAGATAGGATTACATTTCATTTATCTATGCCTCGATTTATTGAAATTTTGTAGATGATAAATAATATCCTTTTAAATTATTTTAGAAGGATTGACGAAGTTTTCATCATTATTTTAAAACAAGATTCTCTCTCTATTTTGTTTTTTTTTCTATTCTCGTTGATATTATTATAGTTAATGTTTTTGATGGAACATAAATTTCTACAAAGAAAATAGTGTGTGTCAACTTTCTAGGAAAATTTTCATT